TGACCGAATTCTGAATGACACCGTCCATCCCCTTCATAATGAGTTAATGGCTGCGAAATCCTTACGCCCCACTCGTCGATGCTTCCGCCACATCCCTTGCCGCACTTCGGCCTATCGGAATTCCATACTGCCATTTCTAGCCTGGTATCTCACCTGCAAAGATGTTGAAAAACAAAAACTAAAACTCGATCTTGCACGTTTAAGTCCTTTTTTCTTCATATATAATCATGTCCACCTGTCTGTCCAAAAACCTGTTAATCTCTATGGTAATCACTGTGTACTGGAGAACCGTTTTTGCTGAAAGTTTTGAAAGTTATTTTCAAAATAAAGCAGTCCTCTCTCTCTCAATGTTTCTCAATGGACTACTAATTCATAAAATATGAATTGCATTTTGTAAAGCTTTGGCCTACCTCGTCTAAAACGCGTATGTAAGTTTATTTTAACTTTCTTTGATGGGACCCCGACGGGTCTTTAATAAAAAATTATTTATCTATCTATCCACTTTACAGCAGATACAGGTTAAACTAACAGGCCGGTAATTGTTGGCATTAGTGCGAGCCCCGCCCTTGTATATCGGAAAGCTATTTTCTGTCTTCGATTCCGATGGCAGCCTCCCTAATTCGAATGACGAGCGGAAGATGTGTGCAAGTGGTTTCTAGAGTTCATTCGCCAGTTCTTTGAAGAATTTGGCCGGTATATTGTCCGGACCCGAGGACTTTGCTTCCTTGAGATTTGTCAGTTCCCTTTCCACGACAGCTGTCGGGAACAGTATGGAGTCAAGCACGGGACCGGTAGTCTCAACAGCATTTCTGGCACTGCGACTGCGATAGGTAGGACCCGATGAGGTTGAGTAGAGGAGGCCGGATGCCGGGAGCTCCCAATTTTACGAAAAGACGTCTATGTGGCTCTTTGTTCAAGAATTAGCTAATATCAAAGTATCTATCTACCACTAACTCTTTATTACAAATAGAGGTAATTACATCAAAAAATGCCTGAGCCCCGTGAGTTTTTCAAACAACTTACTTGTTTCTTAATAAGAATTGAAGGGACATCGATCGTGCTGAGTGTCCTATCTGAAGGCGAAAGAAAGGGACTGGTTCGGACTCCGTAGTAATTTGTTTTGCAAAAAAGCACTAAACAATACCGCCTTCTCAGAATAATCGATGAGGAAGATTTTGTTATCGTTTAGGAGCTGTGAAATTTCGTGACCACGCTTAGAGGAGGACCAATTACGGAAGATTTTAACGACGGATTTGGCAGGGTTCGGATCACTGACAGCAAGCGATTCTCTTTGCCTGTCGGGCGTTTGGCACATCCATGAGTCCGTTTCAAAAATCTCTGTGATTTTTAGATGAACGGATAAAGAATTAGTGAATAGGTCGCATAGCTGCCGTCTCAACTTTTAAATCCGAACAAAGAAAATGAGGGACTAGGGAATCCGAGGAATGAGATTTGAGATATCTACGGGACACAAAATCTAAGATGTCTTTTATAACACTGAACATGACGTCACGAAGGATGATTGCATTACTACAGGATAGTAAACCACGTCAACCCACTGATCCAAGATAGTTTTTTAGTAACTCGTTATCCATGCAATCGTAGTTTAGGAAGGTCCGAGCTGTGCCGGTCTTTTCTGAAAAGGCAAGCGCTAAGCAACTTTGAATTAATACGTGGCCACTATTAAAGAGGTCCTTTTAGAACTCAACAAAAAGAGAGGCAATTTCATCGGTAAATGCTAGATGTAAAATGGTATTATCTTTTGTTGATGAGCGCACCAGATGGGACCTGTTAGAAAAATTTACAATATCTTGGAATGGATGGAATCCAGGTGGACAGATATTACAAACCCAGTCTACTTTAGGAAGATTTAAATACCTACTGATCATTTTAACATTGAAAGCAGCTGCCGAAACTGATTTAAAGATTTCCCAGATTTGTGAATTATCACTGGCTGAAGAGTTTGGGGATTGTAGATACAGACAGTAAGTGCGTTTCTCTGCTGAGAGAGAATAACAGATAGATAGATAATTTTTATTAAAGACCTGTCGGGGTCCCATCAAAGCAAGGCAGCAGTCCCGGTGAACGAGGAGAAATTCAAGTAATAGGGAAATATTTTTCAGGTAGGATCTAAGTTAAAGTAGACAACCGTCCACACGTCTAGCCGTGTGGTCTCAACAGTAAACATTGGAGTTATCTGTAAAAAGGGCAGAGTTAGGAATAAAAGAACGGATCCAAGATTCTGGTACGCATATAATATCATGCGTCATTTCGAGAGCAATGGCTTTGATTCGGGCCATCTTGTTTATAACAGACTTGGCATTCAATAATATAATATCTAATGTGTTTTAAACAGTAAGCCTACCGTTGACGGTATTTTGGAAAAAATTTCAAGGTCGGCATGTAAACCATGAACTAATGTTATTTTGGGAATAAGTTCCCAGGAGTCTAGAGTTCTCGACGTACAGGGAATCAGCGAGAGAAGGCTGGACAGGATACTTAAGAGATGTGGGGATATGTTTTTCGGACACTGGGATGCTAAGGAAATTGGAACGGGGATAGGCTTGCCTGTAGTTCATTTGTGGAGGAGGAGGAGGAGGAGGGAGCCCAGAAGGTAGATGCTAGTGGGGGGGAGGCAGCTATAAGAATTAGAGGGTAGGAAACCAGGTGTAGACTGGAAATCAAAGGAGATAATCTGACTTACACGAGAGCAGTCGGCCTTGAGTGTTGAGAAGCCTGGACCAGGTTAGGAGATTGATGACTGGGGGCGATTCACGTACGAACAATTTGCGGGATGTACAATATGGCCTTGGTAAGTAGCCGGTATGCGAGACAGAATCATTTGACGATATGGTTGGAGCTACGGGGTAAACAGACGAAATCGGCATTAAATGCTTAGTAGATCTAAATTGAGGCGGCATAACATTGAATGGAGTTACAAACTTTTCTTCTAAGTCAGAATCGGATTCCGTTTTTGGATCACACCGTTCTGGCGCCATGCCACATGCGACTTAGATGGATAACTCGGAAGACCCTGTTGAAGTGGCAAAGCTAACGGTCCAGCTGATGTAGACGAAGTTTCGTGCTTCCTAGGGGGGCTATCAGGCGTATTAGGAGTAACAACTAGGGCTGTTGCTAACTTGGAGGCAGACGAATGCGTCAAGTTGCCCGAGTGGGGGGGGGAGATGTGTAAGTAAGTGGAAGGAGGGAGTCATATTTCGCAGGAGTAGGATTAACTGAATGCTAGCGTCTACTCGTATTATAACCGAGTTGGTGAGCATTTGGCTAAGGCAATGAGGGTTTACGTGGGAAAAGGGACCCAATTCTACGTTCCAGGGTAGTAAGTTCATGACAAAGGAAAGAATTCGCGTTTTCCTGATATACAGAAACACGATCGCAGTGGCCAAAGACTGAATCAACCTCGGCTGATGAAAAACTCGACTAAAACGGGCGGATTTTTGCTACGGAAAGACAGGCGTTTGGTATCAGCTATTTTGTAATTTAATCCATATGAGTGCAGGAGATCAACCGCAGCATCAACTGGGCATGTAGATCGAGAAAATTTTTTTATAAAAGGTTGTAAGCTCTTTTCTGTCTATTAACAGATTTATTGGCAACCAGGTGAACGAGTGAGCCAAGGTGTTTGCATTCTTGAGAGGGACAATCGGATGTTTCCACCGAACAATTTTCTCAGGCTTGGGAGCATAGTGCCAAATTTTAGTATAAATCTTTGCAGTTTTAAATTGCAGGCAGATCAAACTGCCTGCCATTAACAACGAGTAACGAATGGCTGGTCACTTCCTGCTTATATTTACTTAAGCCATGCCTAGGTACACCCGCCGAGAACCCTCGCCTACCTCTGACTTTTGCTCTCATCTTGTCTCGAGACAGGTTGCAATTAAATAAACTTCTGACGGATCAGGCGGTCAAATCTTAGCGAGAGCTAAATAATTTTAAAATTTACACAGTAAGAGAGAAATCAAATGCACTTACTGTAAGTTACAGAATGCGACTGGTATTCAGCGGGCACAAACTAGCAAAACTCAATAAGGAAAAGGCAAACGACGTCTCTAAAAGGATAAGCCCGTATTTAAAGACATTTAATCAAAAAACAAAGGCTAAAGCCACTGTGCTTGTCAGAAAAACAAATTAAAATAATATCTTCCACATATTTTCGATTTTGAAACCAGCGGCTGGATCTCGATCTTCTGTGCCTGCCGCACAGGTGACGCCAGCGGCAGAAGTGCAATGCTGGGTAGCAGTAGCAAAAAAACACTTGGATTGTTTGTGAGAAGGCAAAGTCAAATAACGTTATAGAAACGACTGCATAATTAAGGCAGAGGGCCAAGTAACTGACCCTTGAGTGCACCCAGTAGTTGGAGATCCGGGGGTGTCACAGGAGTACGATAGTGAGATATGAAAGTGACTTTTAAGCAGCTACACAAGTTGGCGTCTTTATTGGCTGATGAGACAGATTCCAGTCATTTATGATGCTATTTTTGTGAAGAATGCCGACTAATGTAGACTCTGCGACCTGCGAAGCATTTTGCTACTGCTTCGGTCGTAGTTTACCGCTTTTTCTAAAGACTGGCATCTTGGAACTTGAAAATATTATTTTTGTTACTACAAGTGTCGTATGCAGAAGAGTAAGTCACCAGTGGACATTAAAAAATCTACTTACTTTACATGGCGCAATGTCCTTATTCCATCGTTCACCTGGCAGCTCATGAAGATCACTTCTGTCTACATCATATTACATCTCCGATTCACTTATTGTCGCCTTGTATGGATTGTGCCGTTCAGATGCTTAAAAATAAAGCTTTCATTATGAGGAATTCAGCACTGTAAAAATAACAATTTCATAGAATTAATTAGATTGGAATTAGTCAAGAAGTCGCCTTTCATTATGGCGGAAGCTGATATTGCCGGCAAAAACTGCTTAGGCCAGTCTAGCGCAGATAATTTAGTAGTTTTTATGTCATTCAGACTTACTGACGTTGGAAAGGTTAAAAGAAAAGTCGCCAAACCACTTTTTAGCCATACGGTAGTTTACAATGACGGGCTCGCTATTGTAGGTGAATGAGAACATATAAAAAAGGCAGCCGGCGCCATCTTTCCGGGTTCCCTTTTAGCTAGTTACGTTGATCGGTAATATAATCTCGCACTAAGAGGCGTTCGAGATAAGCCAGGTAATGCTGCAACGCCTGAGCGGACTTTCAAAGGATGTGCTATCTCATGACATGTTAACCAAAATTTGGGAATGTGTTTCAATTCGAGAAGGTTTCGGTAGGGCTATAATAGTTATTGTCTTATAGTACAGCCAGAGCATTTTCAGTTAAGCAAGAATGCCGTCTGTAATGACTGTACATTTGAAAAATGCCTATTAATTTGGACTAACTTTTCCCATCCATCTTTAATGCCTTAATAAATCCAATCAATTTTTTTTAGAAAAGGTGCACAAAATGTTCTGTCTTGTACTCAGTTGGTGGCAAATTACGTCGCTTTCAGACATTACCTTGCGGAGAGAAAGCGTCTTTCAGCTTTTAAAAACGTCTCCGATCACATACTTCTCCTTGTTGATACGAAGATGTCACATGGCAACCATGAAATTGTGCAATGGGTGTGGACCAACATACACACTTTATAAGTATCAGTTATCAACGTGCCGATGCGATGATGAATGAATCGATATTTCACGGTCCAAAATGCCTCATAATTAGATACTATTTTTAAAACTGAAAGATAGCACTTCTTTAAGTATACAATTCGAAGAAGACGTAGTTTGCTACCAAATAAGTACAAGAAGAATATTCTTCTGACGTTTTCTATGAACTATAATTACATTTACAAGGGTATCGGAATTCAATGGAAAAAATACGCGCTAAGTAAAAAGCTATTTTCTGTGCAGTCAAACAAATCTCATTTAGAATCCAGCATCCTGGTATATTAGAAATATCTTAGGATTATTGTAAACGCAGAAAGGGGTTTTGAGACTTCTGTGTAAAAGTAGATGAATATGTGTTAAATGCTCGCTAACGTTATCATAAAACTGCTAAAGTAATGATTTCGAATTGAAAACACATTTCAGAATTTTGATTTACATTTCACGAGATAGTTTATCTACTGTTGTTAGCAGTACCACCCAGTGCGTAACAGAGACAGTGGGTCAAAAGCCCGTTAAAGAAACATAAAGACCAATAAACAAATAGCTGCCAAAGTTTGCGAGCGCGTATGACGTAGAAGTTGCAAAAGTACTTAATCCTCGAGTTTGGTCTGCATGAAAAGTTGGCACAGCATTCGTTTGTCCGACCTAGACACATGTTAAATTGCAACATCCTTCGAGTGGATATAGAGGGCGTCATCAGGAATAGGATGTAGAAGTACCTCGGCGTAAACGGCGACATCGAAAGAAAATGCCGCATCACATATGAGTAACGCGTGCGTCCACTAGTAATACGGCTTGTTGTGAAAGAGGCATCAGTTTTCCTTTACCACACGCGTGATTCACACGGCGCAAGCGGATACAATTCGATGGAGGGGTCATTATCATCCCGGGAGCCAGTGTTTGTATCGACGTCAGTTACGGCAAGCAGAATTTAGTATAAATCTAGGAAATATGTGACACAAATTTTGTAGCATAGACAATAATCAAGACTTCAAAATATTGATATATGCAGGAACACACATCCCTAAGTTTACGATGTTGTGTTTAACCTGAGATTAATGACGCGAGAGAAGAACGGCAAAGTGGAATTATTGTACAGACTTGCAAAAACTAACGTCTTCTTTAGGACAAGGATACATTACAAAGTAAGGGTCAGTTTCAGCTTATTTTTAGTTTATTTGGTAAGAATAACAGGCAAGGCCTTTGAAAACCCTAGTGATCACATGTCAGGTCGCTAAATATAACTGTACATTTCCGGTACTTCCAAAAGTTTATGAGCTGGTCCTTGCTGACAGTGTTTGTTGCCCGGATGAATTCAAGTCCGGCAAGGTGTGACTTGAAAGTAATCCCCAGATATCTATGGCGCTTGAGTAAATGATTCAGGCACAGAAAGTGTGATTTACGGGCCATTGACAACAGACGGCAAATACAGAGCACGCATTGTCACAGGTCTAAACCGGTAGGTGTTTGCATTTAAGCATGCTGAAACAACAGTACAGAAAAGTTTAGGTGAATAAGAAGAAGTGAGAAGAAAAATCGAAGGTGCAAATGGGCATACAACACTATCTGAGGCCTCTGCACGTCACGACATAGTCAATACCGTAGGGAATTAGACTACTCTTGATGCTGGGATTTTTAAACACACCATCAGGCCTGGTATAAACAAGCCTCTACCTATTACCCCAGCAACCCCTAGTAAGCCTAAGCATGTGCCTAAGTCAAAGGCACATGCAACTGCTGTCTCAACCACTCGGACACCCGACATGTCCTGCAAAACAAATTACTTATGTAGAGTTTTAATATTTATTATCCTTAAGCGCCACCCAAGACATGTCGGTCACGCCAGAAGGCCGGTTGCCCGCAAAAATGGCACCCACAGTTAAAAAGTTCATTAGGAACTGAAACTAACCTTCATCCAAGTAAACAATCTATAGAAGACGTAAGTTTCCACTAAATGAGCACAAAACAAGAATACAAATAGTGAATGTAACTAATCCTGCTGAGGGTGGCATTTAATCCCATAGGTGTGCCAGGCAAATCCGGGTCGTCTTCCCACTAAAAAAACGTCGTGACCCATAGCTGAATTCCGTAGTCGACTTGAGTGAATAAGCTACTCTGTTTAGGGGAGGGGGGCACAGCTTGACCCACCACGGAAAAGGAAGCTGTGAAAGGCTCTCTACAAGTTGTTGGTAAAACACGTCGTCGATGAGGTGACCGGGGCTGAGCGATGCAAAAAATGAGGTCAAAGAACTATAATAAACAACAATAGCCATCCCCATTCTCCTGCCTCCCACAGACTGCCATATTGACTCTGCTCATTCTGAAATACCTCCAAATTTTACTGTATATAGGCCTCTTAATGTTAGCTCCCTATCTTGAAGATTCGCGTTGGGAACATTCTCTCCTTCTATTCGCTGCCGCTTTTATTTTCGCCCATCCAAGTCTGCACAAATCTTTCGTCGATTTCGGCCGTCTTTTGTTAGACAAATTTGTTTATGATTTTCCCATTCTGTGGAGTTTGTAACGTTCATTGATAAGTCCATCTCCATGAGGACGGTATTCGTTTCGGAATGCTACACAACTCTTCTGCTTTCTCCTTCGAGTCTTTTTACAAACCCCTCACAGTACCATCAAGGGCCCAAGTAATGTAGCCACACAGCTATGCAGACGTTACTCCGACAGACGATTCCCTGAGTTGCCAACAAGCTCCCTGCTGTTGAATGGCGATGAGAGGATATCACGGTCATTTCAGTTGCCGCGCAGATCGGCCGTAATTCTTCACAATGGCTACGTGTTGTCAACCGAGGCACGTGATAGCGTTGTGCAAAATAGCGAACGACCGTATGACGGACGTAGTAGGTCGCTCACTTACTTGCAAGTGTAGACTACGCCTAGAGTCCAGTGGCTGGCATCCAACTCTCACCCTTGGCTCCCCGAAGCTAGGCTCTTCCTAGCAGCCACACCTTGGTAATCGCCTCGACCGCTGGGCTTAACAGGACAAGGGTATCCGTGCGTGTATCTCAGAGCACGGTAGGATGACTTCGCTGGCCAGATGGATCTCCGCATCGACATCGTCCCCACGAGGCTCCGTCTGGTACACCGTATTCTCTTGGTATTGTGGACCAAAGACTGTTGACGGCGTGTCTCCTTTGGGGTAGCTTGGATTGTATTTCTCGGCTCCCTCCGTTGCGCCTCGACATAAGCATGCTCCTCCAGGATCAGCATTTGCTCCAGGTTGAAGTTCATGCAACAGCGGACATTCAGTCGGCGTTCAGTCATGTCGGCCAATGCATTACTTATCCTACCCCATGTTGACGTACCCCGCGTTTGACTATTGGATGAAACTGGAGCCCCATCTTGGAGATGGCGAGACGTTGATCCCTTCAGCAGTCGGTACCACACATCGCCCAAGTCACCAGCACTCCGTATCGACCACGCCTCCGAAGGCGGTTGTAGCCCAGCAGATGCCAGGGACGTCACCCATCCCCCAGTCGGGAGGCGAAAGAGTGTCTTGGTAAGGTGAATCCTGCGTTTTGCGCGTGCTTTCAGCAGGAGAATGCCATTGCTGGTGCATTTGTCGATCCCATATAGACCTATTATTCCTCCCTCAAGGATTGTGGTCTGTGCCGATGCCGACATTGAGGTCACTAAAGAAAACCAGTTCGTCCGACACCGGCACACTGGCAAGGACGACGCACAGGTCTTCCTAGGACTTGTTCTTCACGTCAGGCACCCTATCCAGTTTTCTCCTGTCAGAGATCCCGGCCTCACTGAGAGCAGCAATGTTGACTTTGTAGCGCGTCAGTTCGCGGACAACCAACGCGGCCGTACATTCTGGCCGTTCTAACCTTGGACTGTCCAAAAGAGGCCGAGCATTTCAGGCTACCAGAGTGAGCAGAGACAATATGGCAGCCTGTGGGAGGCGGGAGAATGGGGACAGTTATTGTTGTTTATGGTAATCCAGGTGCGAGGCAACTACCGACATGGTATCTGTAGCAGCAATTTTCAGTCGAAGTACAGCTGGGCAACCTCCATCCAACTAAATCAACGAGACTGGGGTGACCGCACAAATAAATCCCGGGTCCCAGCCCACTGCACTCCGTACACTCCGCTTATGTGTTAGCGAATCGATGCATACGGTTGACTCTTACAGTGTTCCTTTCAACTTAAGAGAAGCCATTGAGCACGTGGTCTATTATCTCCTCATCAGATGAATTTATCCATCGGGATATGCGATAAACTCCTCAAATGCACAGAACAACACCTCAAGAATTCGAACTTGTGGGAATAGGAGTGCACAACAAACAAAACGCTCACAGTCTGGGAAACCAGGTTGCAAATAAATGCCGCGAAATCCAATGCCCCAATGGATATCAATAGTATGTAGAACAGTAAGCCATACAAGAGTCTATTCAAATCACCAAAATAATCGTATACAAATCAGATCAAACGTGATAATTAGAAAAATAGTCCTTAAATCACTGTGGGAGGGGGAGGCGGGGAGCGGAAGGAGGATTAGTAGTTGAAATCACAGTTAGGATTAACACCAATTGAAAACTGGTTGCCTTAAAATCGGGTTTGTCACAGCGACGACAGCCTCCGCTGAGTCTTGCTTTCGCTATCTCCGCAAGGTATCCCAGTGAGAAATTCAACCTGTCGAAAGCAAAAAAGAACAAAAGATAGCCAGCGGGATTTGGCGAATCATAAAGTAACCGCACCAACTATACTTGGCACAGTACCATGGCACCAGGTCCCACGTGACACAACCATGGGACATGAAGGGAAGCAAGATCTGTAGTTCTAATTCAGCGCGAAGAAATAAAAGACCGATGTCAATGGTGCATAAAGCACTGGAGGCACGGTTGGACTAAATGTGCAGGAAGATGGGAATGGCAGAAATGCTTATTATCTGAACCATGGACGCACAAAATGGCCAATCTAAGCACAAAGTATTATGCTTGCAACTGGAGGCCATTCCCGCGATAATCCCACACGTTTCCACACTGGACATGTTGTCGACTCATCCACTCAGAGTGAATCAGATATTTGGAACAGGTATCTCGACAGCATGGACGTTTTCGCAGTAAATCATGAGAGCATGTGACAGAAAAACAAATATCTTCAAGCTTATGTAAGATTCTGACACACAAGCATTGCTTATCTAGTCGCGTTCTTCCTCATTTTTTACATGTTTTCTCCCCTTACCTCTTAACGTCCAACTAATTTGCTGCTACCCGATTCAAGTACCAAACACGCTGCTCCATATTTCTCCTTCAGGGCCAACCAGCGAAAAATATGTCGACTGCGGTGGTATTCGAATCCAAGACAACAAGGGCAAGGTTTGATGTGTTCAGGCCCTAAACATCTGAGCCATGACGTCCCAACCGGGGATCTTATGCTTTTCACATTCTAGGCAGGTTATTCGCATTTCCTGCTGCAACGTATAGAGTTCACCGAATCTAATACAGCAAGCCGCTTTCTCAAGCAGGTTCTCCTAAGCAATCAATCTGAAATCCACGAACTGACCGTCAAAGTCCAACACTCTCATTGAATTACCCCATTAGCACGGACTTGAGCTCTGAACTTTCTTTCATTTGTTCGAATCCAACCACGCCGCAGTTTTCGACCACTGGGAATGCAGTGTTTAGTTGTCATGTTTCTACAAATTGACCACGGTGGCAACCATTCGGGGAATTATCAGAGCTTAAAATAAAAGTCCCACTTTCTATTAAAACAGTCACAACTGAGAGTCAAACTACACTGACTTTTTCTAGCGGTGACTAGCATTAAAACTATGATCGCCTCACATGTCTGGTCGGATCGCACACTAAGCGTTGGCAAAATACTGAAGGCAGTTAGGCAAGACTAGTCCATCAAATCAATCAGGCGATTTTGTGTAATATTGTCTATCTAAACCACAAAGCACCACTAGTCAGTATTCTGGACAATGTTTCAGCTAAATCAATGGTGAGGGTCAATACCATACTCCATGCGCTGTTCAGCGCATTACACCGAGCTCACTTTCCCTCGGTTGACTGCTCTCGTGATTACATCCATGACTCTGACGTTGGTCTGCGACAGCCCAATGACAGGACTGGGCAGCAGCGGTGTCATCGTCGTCGTCCCTAACATAATTTTAATTTTCTGCTATTTCGCATTCACCCAACTGTGAAAAACTCGGCGCCTCGATGGGATTCGAACCCACGCAGTAAGGGGAAGGCTTTATCGCTGCCAACGCTATAACCACCTGAGCTACAAGGCCCCGCCGGTCGACGCGAGTTTAATCACATCTGGGTCAAGTTACCCGCCCAACCTTCTGCAACGTCTGCAATCCACCAAATCTGAAACAGTAAGTTGACTGCCCAAGCAGGACTTCCTAAGTAATTCTTGATAAAGTCTCAGATGGCGAATGGCTAAAATATTAAAAGTAAAGAACTCACAACTGTGACAGGAAGGCCTGTGCAAAGACGGCGGTCTCAGTCTGTTCTTTGTCGATAAATCTGCACCAATTTGGCCTTTCCTTGGCCTACGTGGCTTGCAGGCTGGCACGTCGTGTTGACCGTCCGGCACTACCCTCACCCCGTATCCTGCTTGCTCGTGGCTTGGCACGAAACTGCAACCTTTTCATGAACCATCATGAAAAGATTTCAGGCAAAAGAAAATAAATTGTCGGAAGTATGTCAGGCACTATGACATACAGTCGGCCCCATTATTCTAGCAGCATTATACTAGGTAGCACTTTTCACCACTATTGAGATCCGCACGCAAAACCTCCAGCTGTCTTCCTTTGATATTATTCTCTTCTTCCAAGTCTGGAAAACCCCAAAGCTACTGCTTCACTTACAATTTACGATTAGCAAGGAAGACTCGTGGAAAGGGTGTGGCCTAACTAAATAAGCTTTCTGCATTTCTTGAACGCTTTAAAACTTTATCTGGCTCCCTGTCACCTGCAACTCCAGTTGGTTGCTCAGGCGCCTGAGACTTTCTTCCGCCTCAGCTTTCTCCTCCTGACAGTTAATAAGGGTCTTCTTCGCTTCCACTAAGTCGGAACGCAAACTCTCTTTGACACTCATCATGACTTAATATCGATCTCTCAACTGGGCTACTTCACACTCCAGGCTTGCTCTAAATGTAAATTTGCAAATGACATATTCACGTGGTAGGTTCTTAGTAGAACTTGCAGTTTATTGGGCAACCAAGACATTGAGAATTTCTGACCTTTCTTCATCTGCCTCACAGGCAAGTTTGGACGCATACATTGGAAATGATTAAAATCTATTTGCCGAGGCTCGTTGCCTGAAATTTTTCCATGATGGTTCGTGAAATATTTCAGTCTCGTTCGAAGCGAAGATCCAGAAGGATATGGGGCGAGGTAAGTGCCGGACAGCCAGCAAGACATGCCAACATACAAGCCCCGTATGCCAAGGAAAGGCCAAATTGATGCAGACTTATCGACGAAGGACAGACTGCGACCTCAGTCTTTGCACCGGCCTCCCCGTCACCATCGTGAGTCCGTTCCCTTGAATGTTTTTGCCATTCAGCATCCGAGACCTTATCAACCACGAATGGAAGAAAATGGAAATTATGTAAAAGACGACGACAATGACACGGCTGCTGCCCAGTCCTGTCATTGGGCTGTCGCAGACCAACGTCGCAGTCGTAGTAGAGCTGTAAATGTCATCACGATGACAGCCAGTATGGGGGAAATAAGCTCGGTGTAAGGCGCACAACAGCTCGTTAATTAAGACGTTGAACCTTTCCCTTGATTCAGCTGGCACGGTGTTCAAAATCCTGATGCAGTGGTGTTTTTTGGCTTAGATAGACAATATTACACAAAATCTCTTAAATGATTTGATGGACTAATCTTGCTTAACTGCCTTCAGTATTTTGTTAACAATCAATGTTTTTGCGGTCCGATTTGACACGTTAGGTAATGAACCGTTTAATGCCAGTCATTGCTAGAAAAAGCCACCAGTCATTAATATTTCTGTACGGTGACTGTTTAGGTAGAATGTGGGACTTTTATTTTCAACTCTGATGATTCTTTGCACGGTTTCGACCGTGCTCGATCTATAGAAGATGATAAGTGAATGCAGAATTCCCAATGGTTAATAACTACTGCGTCGTTGGGAGTCGAACAAATGACGGCAAGTTCAGGGCTTGAGTATTGCCAATGGGGAATTTAGTGAAGTATTCAACTTTTACGATCTTCTCGTGGACTGCAGATTGACTGCTTAGGAAAGCCTGCTTGAGGAGGCAGTTTGATGTTTCAGCTTTGATCACTCCATACGTTCCAGGAAGTGCGAAGTAGTTGTCCAAAATGGGAAAAGCGTAAGATCCTCGGTTAGGACGCCATGGATCATATGGTTAAATCCTGGGCACATTCAACCCTTACCCTTTTGTCCTGGGTTCGAATGCCACACCAGCATGTCTGAGAATTTCAATGTGAATTGCGAACTTGGCTTGAAACCACAAATATTTACAGCAACTTCGCTTTTGTCTTTAAGGTTATCCAAGGCCTTATTTGATATCCCAGACGCTATCCTAGCCATTTATGGTAGCGCAATACTTTGGAATACAAACCAGTTACATTTCAATCGCGTGGTGACAAATTGTGACTAAGAAGTCAACATAATGATTGCTTAGATGTAATCACAACCGTCGGCACTTTGATCCTGGCATAATCAAACGAGTATTCCTAAAGAAGTTGGAAACTCAGTTGTTTTTAAGAAGAAGAAGAAGTAGAAGAAAAAGCGAGGAAGAAGAAGAAGATGAAGTAGAAGAAGAAGTAGTAGTAGTAGTAGAAGAAGAAGAAGAAGAAGAAGAACAAGAACAAGAACAAGAAGAAGAAGAAGAAGAAGGAAAATTAGGAAAGAGAGACTACAGTGAGACACCACAAACGCACTTCTACTTGGCAAAGTTCATCAATGTGTTAAACTGTAGTTACTTTATTTGTTATAACTGTAAGTAGTTTGTTACTTAAGTAAACATAAATTTAATTATGTAGCCATTTATATCCTGCTAGTAACAGCCCTTCCATGTCACTCATTGCATTTTATAACATTTCTCGTTACCGAAAACGGAAGATGTACTCATCCATACCTTGGACTGTCAGGTTTTTCATTCTGAAAGTTTGGAAAAAAAATATAGGATTTAACGTCTTTACAAATTTGTTTAGGGGGTAGTAATAATGGTAGGCAATAGGCATTTTTGGTAGTCGCATAAAGCCGTGCTAGAATGCGTCTTTATTTCTCGCCTCTGTGAATAGAGAAGGGCAGCCGCACCGAAGAGTAAGTGTATATGCTTTTAAAAATTTGTAAAAGCACTAAAATATCCGTCATTTCATAACTTGCTACAAATGACTAGAATGTTAGCAGTTAATTTTACAAAGAATGAGGCTTCAGAGCATTATATTGTTCCCGACTGAGAAGATTTGATAGTGTCTGGAATTAGTCGCTGTATATACTCTGACAGATGCAGGCCCCATCCGTTTTACAAATTCGATTTGTATATCATGATATATCCAGCAGCGTATGGTCTTCGGATACATCTGGATACAGAGCGGTCGCTTCGCCTCCGCTACGCGCAAACGTTACTACAAAGCGCGATGACAGGGGCGACGTTAGAGAGTTTTCCGATGATCGGCCTTCTGAGAGGCGATCATATCGACCACAAAGCCCATGTGGTGACGTGGAGCTCTTGTAAGTACATAAGAACAAAGAATTATATCATCTTGAATTTCCAATGACCTATCAGCAGAAAGAAAGTTAAGGGAGTTGTGAACTTTCCGTGGTTTCCCTGTAAGAGTACCCGCCAAGACATTTCAAATAAAGTTAAGTGAACTAGGCTGTATGCCATGCAGACTGTCGACTAGCAGAATTTGTTGAATGACTCTTATGGTGTTAGGAGAGTTTAACTGTAATCAGTCGTTCACTTTGAGGTCTTTTAACCTGCATGTAAAGTTTCTTTTTTCTATTCCCAGGGAAGGAGATTTTGAGGAAGATATTGTGGAGCGTTGTGGGAGCGAAACAAGGTTGTTTAACGTTAATGTATGTTTTAGCCAACAGGATCGATCGCAACGTTCGGATGAATGGCGAACTGGACGTGAGCTGTTGGAGAGGCGTAATGAAGCATTTACGATTGAACATAACCTGTCGA